AACTCACCATGGCCAACTTGCCACAGCCAACTCACCATGGCCAACTTACCACAAACAACTCACCATGGCCAACTTGCCATGGCCAACTCTCCACGGCCAAGTTTCCATGGCCAACTTGCCACAGCCAATTCACCATGGCCAACTTGCCATGACCAACTCACCATGGCCAACTTGCCACAGGCAACTCACCATGGCTAACTTGCCATGGCCAACTCTCCACAGCCAAGTCTTCATGGCCAACTTGCCACAGTCAACTCACCTTGGCCAACTTGCCATGACCAATTCATCATGGCCAACTTGCTATTGAAAACTCATCATGGTCAACTTGCCACAGCCAACTCTCTACGGCCAAGTCTCCATGGCCACTTGCCACAGCCAACTCCCCATGGCCAACTTGCCATGACCAACTCACCATGGCTAACCTGTGACAACCAATTCACCATGGCCAACTATGACTAATTCACCATGGCCAACTTGCCACGGCCAACTTTCCATGGTCAAGTCTCCATGGCCAACTTGCCACAGCCAACTCACTATGGCTAACTTGCCATGACCAATTCACCACAGCCAACTCACAATTAAACAATTCAATTTAATTATTTAAAATAATTTTAAAAGTTATTTTAACTGTTGTGGTGCACATTTCATTTTGCCCTTCCTTCGGCATCCTTTCTTTCGTGATTCTAGTCCATGATTTCTTCAATATTAGTGTAGCTCTTGTTTTTTTCTGAGGAAAAAAAATTCAGAGCACAAAGACTGGGATAAATTCAGACCAGTAGAGCATTCTCAGCCTCTTTGATTTTCCCAATTCGTTCCTGCAATCTCTCCAGGCCATCAGTCCTGAAGCACGTCAGATTTCTGCTCTCTGCCTACACAGAAACTTGTTGGGGACAATTTCCCTGTGGTGAAAATTAAAACCGATCAAAGAGGATGCAAAATAATCAAGATGGCCGCCCCTGCTGCCATGCGGGAAGAGCCCCTGCCCTACCTTTGGCGTACAGGCACCCCAGATCAAAAAAGACAAACAAAAGTCCTTCCCATCCTAAAATGCTTTCAGGGCTCTTTGGAGTTGCCCTCCATTGACCGAGGGAGGACTGGGGGAATCTTTTAACTCAAGCAAGCAGGCCAAAGTGGATGTACTTCTGAACACCTTTGGCACCCTGGCATTGGGGAAAGGGCATAGCAAAAGCTCCCAGGTGGCCAGGCAGGCATTCAATGCCCTCCAAGAACAGACCGGGGCAGTCAAATAGGAACCATGCCTGCCGCTCCCCCTTTCTTTTCTCCCTTTGGATGGGCACGGATGGCATTTCCTAGGTCTGGATGGCAACAGTGCCATGTGCTGCTGTCTGGAGAGGCCAGCTGTCTGGGTTCAGGGGCAAGAGGGACCAAGATTGGCACAGAGCAGTGGTCGGCAACCAGCGGGCCATGGACCACTGGCGGTTTGCGAGAAAATTTTGGTGGTCCGCAGAGAAATGCCCCCCCCGCCAAAGCAATGAATCCAGGCTGTGCAGGAACACAAGGCTGTGCTGTCCACATGGCCCCCACCCTTCGGCCGAGCGCAAACCTTACCTTGAGTAGAACAAAGCGAGCCGGAACTGGAAGGTAAGACCAACGGTGGGGGAGGGAAATCCGCCCCGGGTGTGGCTTGCTGACGTTGGTGGGAAAGTCGGTCCCCTATTCCAGAGCTGCAGGAGTCACAGGACTGGCCCTTTGGTCATCCTGGAGCAGCTCCTCCGGTCCATGGCAGGTCGGTGCACCCGGGTGGAGGAGCAGCTACTCCAGGACGACCAAAGGGCCAGTCCTGTGACTCCTGCAGCTCTGGAACATGGGCCACCAACATCAGCAAGCCACCGTCAGTCAAAATTCATATTAGTGGTCCATGGGATTTAAAATTACGAGTTTGATGGTCCCTGAGGTCCAAAAGGTTGGCAATCCCTGGTTTAGCCAGTGTAATCCCTCAAAGAGTCACAGATTTAACCAGGAATAATCCTGGTTGACACCCAGAAGCAGAACTGTAATGTTAATGGATCCCTGGCTACATTTGTGGTTACCCGAAGTCTTTTTATAATTTGAAATGATGAGTTTGGTGGTCCCTGAGGTCCAAAAGGTTGGCAGCCCCTGGCACAGAGGTTCCCTGGGAAAGGTTGATTTGGCTTGGCCGACTGTTACCCCTGTGAAATCCAGTGGTGCCACCCTGGCACCTCTGGCTCCTTCCCGTGCCCACTGGCTCTCGGGCTGCCCTCTCTTGTTTCCCAGTAAGGCTGCTGGGACATTGGTGGCTAGCAAGGGAGGCACCCCTGTCATCTCCCAGCATCCTCCTCCTCCACCTCCTCCACCTCACCTGTACTGGAAAGTCATGTTGGTGATTTTGATCTTGATCTCTTCTCCGTGCCGGATCTCACCCGTCATTTCGAAGAGTTTGTTGGCCATTTTCTCGTAAACTTTGGCATTCCTCTTGGTCTGCTTGAGCTCCTCAAAGAATTCCTCCCAGACCAGCATCAGGCCTCTCATCTCGGCTTCGGTCCAGTTGCGCGCCCGGCGGTGCTTCTCGCTCTGGACGGAGAGCAGGCAGGCAGGGGTCGGGGTGGCAGCCATGGCAGCTGCCGCCCGTGGGCGGCTCTCCGGCACAGCCGTGGCTGGCGGCAGAAGATGGGGCCTAGCACATCTGACAGGCTGGAATTTAGCTAAAAGCTTTTAAACAGAGGGACGTCATTTCGATGTCACGTTCCCATAGCAACGGAGCCACTGCATAAGCTACAACAACAAAAACCTTTTAACTGAAAGGCAAAGAATCGGGACAAAGTTGACAGGCCATCAATATTAAAGCTTTTAACCACATTAGGCTTAACTAAGCCGCACACTCGCTCTCCCCGGGCACACAAACACACACTCGCATGTGCGCACGCACACACACACCACACAGAGGCAGGCTGGCCTCTTGCATCTCTCTCTCCCCCCCTTCTTCTCCCATCACAGCAACATCTCAAGCCGGGAAGCAGCTAAAAAGGCCTTTCCTTCAAAAGGGCCGTGGATTCCATCGAATGGGATAACAGTTTGGAAGGGAGCCTTGGAGGTCACCTAGTCCAACCCCCCACCCTAGACCATTTCAGACAGGTGGCTGTCCGATCTCTTCTTGAAAGCCTCCAGGGATGAAGCTCCCACAACTTCCGAAGGCAACTTCTGTTCCATTGAATATAAGTTAACAGAGTTTGGAAAGGCCCTTGGAGGTCATCTAGACCAACCCCTCCAGCCAAGCAGGGAACCCTACACCATTTCTGACAGATGGCAGTCCAGTCTCTTCTTGAAAGCCTCCAAGGATGAAGCTCCCACAATTTCCAAAGGCAACTTCTGTGCCACTAAATACAGAATAACAGAGTTGGAAGGGACCTTATAGATCATCTAGACCAACCCCCACTCAAGCAGGAGACACTACACCATTTCTGACAGAGGGCAGTCCAATCTCTTCTTGAAAACCTCCAGGGATGAAGCTCCCACAACTTCCGAAGGCAACTTCTGTTCCATGGGTTGGTTGTTCTTACTGTCAGAAAAAAAAAAAAATCTCATTTCCAGGTTGAATCTCTCCTTGATCAGTTTCCATCCATTGTTCCTTGTCTGGCCCTTGGGTGCCTTGAAGAATTCCTTGCCTTGCAAGCTTTACGACCAGGGTCAGGAGGTCTCTCTGGGGAGCCCTCTTCCCCGCTGCAGCCTTCGGCTCTGGCAAAGCCAGGAGGGCACCTTCAGATCACTGGAAGCTTTCAAGTAGACTGCCATCTGTCAGAAATGGTGTAGGGTCTCTTGCTTGGGCGGGTGGGGTGGGTTGGACTAGATGACCTACAAGGTCCCTCCCTACTCTGTTAATCTGTAAGCAGATCCGAGGCTCAGTTGCTGCAGGGCAAGAGTCTGCTGGGCCAGAGAAGGTGGGAGATTTTAAAGACCCAAACACGTCAAGACCTGCACGAAGCCGAAAGCACCAGGCTGAAGATGGCAAGTAGGGCCTCGTTGAAACGTTGCCAAGATGCTCTCAATCTTACACAGGAAGAGACCCGAACACGTCAAGACCTGCATCTGTACCCATGGAAATCTACGAATATATATATATATATAAATATATATATGTGGATCTTTGGTTATTCGGGTTTTCTCCCGCGTAAAATTGGAAGTATCTAGGCGACGTTTCGATGAAGTCTCATTCATCATCTTCAGGCTTGTGTCTTCGGCTTTGTGCTTCTCAGAGTCATTTAAGATCCGCATACAAATACCCGCGAAAACCTCAGAAAACAAATATATATATTTTCGTAGATTTTTATGGGTACAGGTATGCAGGTCTTGGAGTGTTCGGGTCTTTTCCCGTGTAGGATTGAGAGCATCTTGGCAACGTTTCAACGAGGTCCTACTCACCATCTTCAGCCTGGTGCTTTTGGCTTCGTGCTTGTGCGAGCACACACACACACCCTATATCCCACATGGGCATGGCTAGTCTAGAGAAAAGAAGGACTAAGGGGTGACAGGATAGCAGTCTTCCAGTATTTGAGGGGCTGCCCCAAAGAAGAGGGAGTCAAGCTATTCTGCAAAGCTCCTGAAAGCAGGACAAGAAGCAACAGATGGAAACTGATCCAAAAGGAGAGAACTAATTCTAGCAACCTTTCTAGCAAAATCCTTTTTTAGTGAGCACTTAGAAGCCAAGAGGAACCTACGTGCCAAATTTCAAGTTTGTAGGCTTTATGGTTTTGATGATGCGTGAATGGGTCGTTCGCTTTTATATATATCTAATTAGCATTTATTCCCCTCCCCCAAAACAAAATCCAGATACCTACAAGCAGGCTCACTGGAAATTTGAGCACAAAAAAGTAACAGCTCTCTCTTTTTTTCTTCTTTCCCCCTCCTGCCTTTTGATTTTGCACCCATGAAAAATAATTTCCCAATTTGGAGCCATTTCTTTAAAATGAACTAAATAACACAGATATTACAAAACAACAGCTGGCCCGCAAGCCGAAAGTAGTTTAAACTCTGTTTAATAAATAATTTGTATGCATACATCCAACGCAGTTGCATATATTTTTACGTACATTATATACACCAATGCAGTTCTGATAAAATTTCACTCTTGTGAGCAAGGGAGAAAGGAAACGGGGGAGACGAATTCTATAACGGGGAACATTGCAAAAACAAAACACAAAAAAATAAATTCAAAAGGCCGAACGCACCAACCTGGTTTGGTGTCACAAGGAGGCACCCAAAGCTCCACAAGGGGAAAGCACAGGGTCCTGCAATCTCCAGCTCAGGATGATGGGCCTCTGGGGCGTGCACCAGAGGCCCGATTGGGCTGGGGAGGAAAAGGTTTGGAAGAGCTTCTGTGGGGCTGGAAGAAGCCCCATTTTCCTCTCGGATTGCCCCCGGGCGGCCTTCACAGTTGGCACCCTTGCTGGGCAGAGAACAAAAAGGCCTTTTGAGGTGAGCCCTGCTTTGCCCGGGGCCAGCTCAGCCTCTTGCCGGCTGATTTCCCTGATGGAGGGATCCGAAAAAGGATCCCCTTTGGATCTGGGAAAGAGGGGAAGGGTCGGTCACATTTCGGTAGGCGAGGGGAGAGAGGAAAGCAGCCACCCCCCCCCCGAAACACCAGAATTTTTTTTTTAAAAAGGGGACTGTGAAACCAAAGTCATGCAGAGAAAGCAGGGAGTGTGGGATTGAAGTTGGGCATTTGTGTGAGTGTGTGAGAGAGAAACAAGGGCCGTGTCCTTGCCAGCTTTTGTGATCGAGTCTGTCCAGTTTTGAACTACAGATCCTGAACTGCTGCCCCTCCCTAAGATAATATTTGTCTAGTTTTCCAAATCCTCTCTAAAGAGTCACCGAAGGTCACAAGAATCAGGATTATTATTTTTTCTCGGTTGCTTTGGGGAAGTTTCCTTAATCGGAAGCAACTGCTTGATTCCTTCCAAAATGCCTCTGATGGTATGGAGGGGATTTCCTAACATGTTCACCCTTCAAAGGGTTTCACGGAGTGTCCAGGTCCTTTCCTCCTCCCCTTCCCCAATTGCTTACCCAGTAAATCCAAATCCTCTCTTTTTTTTTTTTAAAAGGTCCAAAACTTAAACTCATCGCTATATTTTAAACTTTTTCAACGAGCAGCATACAAAAGATGAAAAAAAAGAGAGTTTAAAAGGCGAGCCGAGAGTGCATTAAAAAAATAGACCTAAAGGACATATGATAGGAAAACAGTCAATGCGCTATATTCAACATACGGGGCAAATATTTCTTTTTTAACCATGTTAAGTGCTTCCCCAGCCTCCACGCCTTTCCTGTTCTCTTAACATATTATACACCGTTTTAGAACTATTTACACATTGGCTATTTTTAAAACCCAGGAATCGATCCGACTTTGAAATCTTAGAGTTATAAAAGAAAACTATCTCTTCATAGGTCTAATTTCCCCACTTTTAATACATCAAAATACATTGGAGTGTGTGTGTGTGTGTATGAATTTTCAGTGTGTTTACAAGTCTTTTTCCCTTTTTTTCTCTCAGTCACATTAGGAAAGTACGACAAATTGCAACAGAACTCTTGTAGCTAGATGAAACTAAAGGCTTTTTAAATGCCTGTGGAGCCGATACTGCAGAATTCACGAGGTTCAGCATGGACAATATATAAAATGAAGCCAGGATGAGCTATTTGTTTTGCATCCATCTCTCTCTCTTTTTTCCCCTTCCCAAATACCCAGAAGTTGTGGTGCATGGCCCAGCCACCGTAACCTACTACGGAGTAATTTGGGTTGGGAAAAAGGGAAAAAAACGATGGCAGGGGATGGGGGGGGGGGGAGCTCCGTGGCGTTGAAGGTTCAACTTTTCCAGGCTTTTCCGTACTTCCCCTGCCCTCTTTTTTGTTTTGTTTTTCAACACGGGGTGATCTTGTGAACGCTCTGTAAGCAGGTCAGCAAACGATGGTACGGATTTCCCGGGGAAGAGACCACTTCGAAGATCGACTGAAAGGCTCGGCGATCCAATTCCTCGTCGATCTGATGCCGGTAAAAATCGATGGCCACCAGGCAGAACAAATTGAGGTCGACTTGTTCTGATTTTCCCATTCGGCTGATAATATGCGGGAGACTTCCAGGGTGGGGGAAAAAAAGAGTCAAGGATATATAACAAAGATGCACCTGGTTAAAACATCACATAAAGCAGGGATTGCCAACCTTTTGGACCTCAGGGACCACCAAACTCGTAATTTTAAATCCCACGGACCAGAGACCCTGGGAAAATCCCCTCAAAAAAGTCTGCAGGAAAATTCCCCACCCTGTTTTCCTAACAATCAATCATTCTTTATTTGGGATCTCAGGATACCATCTCCAGCTCCGTTCTCAGGGGGAGAGAGAGAGAGAGAGAAAGAGAGAGACTTTTGGCTTCAGGCAAGGAAAACAGCAGAAGCTGCAGAAGTTTTTCTTTCTCTTCCCCAAACACTGCCAGAAATGAGTCTTTGTGAGACTTGTTGTGCCGGCGCAGCCTCTTGGAGTAGGAGGCCTTGCAGGGTCCCAAAGACTCATTTCTGGCAGAGTTTGGGGGAGAGAAAGACTTTTGCTGCTTACCTTGTGTGCAGCCAAAAGCAGAAGAAGAAAGAAGCGGAAAGAAGCATCCCGGTGGCCAGGCCAGGCGCGTGGGGCGGGGCGAGTGGGGCAAGTTTCCCCCCTCTGCCCTTTCCCCCCTCCCCTCACTACCTCGTGTTGTTCGCAATGCAAGCGACACAAGCCTTGTGTTCCCATAGGCCATGTGGGTGGCACAGACTTCTGTTCCCGCGCAGCCTGGATTAATTGCTTTGGGGGTAACATTTCTCTGCGGACCACCAAAATTTTCTCGCGGACCCCCAGTGGTCCCCGGGCCCACTGGTTGGCGACCAGTAACATAAAATATTATGAACTTTTAACTCTACTCTATTCCTCAGCGCGACGAATAGAGGTGGCCCTCGACTCACAACAGTTCGTTTAGTGACGGGTCAAAGTCGCAACAGCCCTGGAAAAAAGTGACTGATGACGAGCGGTGGGATTCTACTGCTTTGCAACGGTTCGAGCGAACCGGTCGTTCTGGTGAGCAGTTGGGCCTCCCTCGCCCGCCCCTGCCCTTTCCTGTCCTATATCCCCCTGTTTTTTAGCCCAGCTGATTCGCACAGCACAGTGGATTGCCATGCATCAGCTATATCAACCCAAAAACATTTCTCTGGTTTTTTAAGAGTTGTCAGCAGAAAGGGAGTGGGGGAAGCAAAGCATACCTTAAATATTTTCAGAAGATAATTGCTAGGCGGCCGAAGCTGTTGGCGCGCAAGATTATTACTGGAGTGCATGATTGAGGACTCTTGGCTATGGATGTGTCCCGTTGGAGAATATACATCCAGGGGATGGGGGGGGGAAGACCAGGGTCAAGGGGGAAATGAATGGTGTATTTTAGTGTCGGCTGCCCCCAGCTAACGCCAACATGGTCACTCCTAATAAATGATGCAGCTAGAGATTCAGGATTTGAATGGTTTACTCACCAGTGTTGACACAGAAGGTAATTTTTTAAGCTTAAAATGGGCGGCTTTTTTTAATGCTGCCCACGCATGCAAGTGCAAAGCGCGCGCGCTCACCAAACCAGCTGTTAAAGCGGCTGCATCCCACCACTGCTTACGACCGTCTTTCAGATGTACGATCGGCTGCAGCCTCCCCTGTGGTCCCGTGATCCAAATTCAGGCGCTTGGCAACCGACTCGTATTTATGACGGTGGCATTGGTCACGTGATCCACTTTTGCGACCTTCTGACGGGGGAAGCCAGATTCGCTCCACAACGGTGTCCCTAACTTAACGACAGCGGTGATTCTATCGAAACCATGACGCCAAGAAAAGTCGGGCCAAACGGGGCAGAGCTCACTTGAGCAACATGTGTCTCACTTAGCAACTCGCCTGCTTTTGTGACCTTCTGGCAAGCAAAGTCAAGGAGTTCGCTTAACCAAGCAGGCTGCTGACTTAACCACTGCGGCCATTCGCTTAATAACGGGGGCAAGGAAGATGGTTCAATGGGGCGAAACTCGCTTAACGCGCATCTCACTCAACAACGTAACTTTCGGTGGTGGTCATAAGTCAAGGACTACCTGTATTTCTCTACCCACTCCCTCGGGTTCTCCCCTGGAAACCAAAGGGCTACTCTTCCCTTCCAAAGAAGAATCTGCATACCAAACAAGCTTGTCAGAGGATATCCCAAAGGTGTTTTTTTTTCAAGAAGCAACTGGATTTACTTATTTTTCCTTGAGGACGTTTCACTTCTCATCCCAGAAGCTTCTTCAGTTCTGACTGGATGGAGGGGAACGGAAGGGTTTATAGTCCTTGCAGACAAGCGGGTCATTTGCATCCTTTGAGAATGTCCTTGAGGCCGCCTGGAGGTTTGTCTGTATCCTCAGGGTCACCTGAGTGGTGCCAATGGGGGTGGAGCCGCCTTGGAACTGATGAAAGGATGGTGTTGTGGACTCCACACCCATTTGCACCTCTCAGGTGTCTCCGAGGACACAGATAAACCTCCAAGTGGCCTCAACGGCTCTCTATAAAGGATGCAAATGATCAGCTGGTCTGCAAGGAGTATAAATCCTTCCCTTCCCCAACATCCTGAAGAAGCTTCTTTGGGATGAGAAGCGAAACGTTTTCAGAGAAAAACCAAAGAAAGTCCAGTGGCCTCTTGGAAAAAAAAAAAAAAAGCACCTCGGGGACATCGGTGACCTGGAGGACGCGAATCTCCAGAGACTTCTTGTCGGAGGATACATTCCTGAAATCCAGTGGCTGGTGGAAGCGCTGACGAAGAAACAGGAAAGGCTCCACATCGCCATGGCGATTGGCGTCCGTTGTGTGAAGTTGGAGAGCGACAACATCACCCAGTCCCGGACCATGGAGGACTGTCCTGTTGTATGCAAGGACTGGAAGACCTAGAGAAATCAAAGAGCCATCATCGTTCATCCTCCGGAGGTCTTGGAAAAGTCATCTGGACATCATGCGACAAATATCTAAAACGCTATTATTTCGAGGTGTGCTGATCGCGTCCTGCACCCAGTAAGGGTTTTTAGGTGTAATTTAAAAAAAAAAAAAATCTTAAGAAAGGAAGTCCCATCCTTAGTCTCTTATAAGGAGAATATTTATAAAATGTTTTATCGGTGGCACTTCCCACCAGCGAGACTAGCCAGAATGTTTCCCAACCTATCAGCGAAATGTTGGAAGTGCAACCATAGCCAGGGAACGTATTTTCACATGTGGTGGGTGTGTCCCCAAGTACAAAAGTATTGGCTTAAAATCCAAGCCTGGTTAGAGGAGTTAACAAAGCCAAAGATCAAGTTCAAACCAGAGATGTTTTTACTAGGTATGCTAGAACCGACATGGGAGAAGACACCTAAGACGGCATATTATAACCGCTGCAAGAATTTCTCTCGTTCAAAACTGGAAACTCACGACACCCACAGATTTAGTAGTCATTAACAAGATACATCAGTGCGCAGAAACGGTTAGGCTAACGTTATTAAAAAACAGGGAAGAAGAAGAGTATTTTATGATATGGAATATACGGTGTAAAGAGTTAAGAAAAAGGAGTAAAGAGGTTTGTGAAAGTGACTAATGAAATTTTAAAGAGGAATATATGATTCATATGTATATATGCAAAGTAATGTAGATAAGTAAGTATTGTAATCTAATAGTACTAACCAAGGAATGAGTAAATTAGTTATAGATATACCGATGGCAAACGAATCTAATTGTTATTTAAAAAAAACATATACACTGCTATGATATCACTGTAAAATGTGAGAACTTGTTTCTCCTTTTTAAATTTTTGAAATTTTGAATAAACAAACTTCAAAAAAAAAAAAGAATAAAGGAAGTCCTCGACTTACAGCAATTCGTTTAGTGGCCACTCAAACTTGCAACACTGAAAAAAAAGCGGTTATAATAGGTAGTATTAGGTGTCTTATCCTATTTGTCATACTTAGGACCGTTGAAGCATCTCCAAGGTCAATGTGATCCAAATTTGGATGCTTTGGCAACTGGCTCGTATTTACGATGGTTGCAGCGTCCCTGGGGTTCGTGAGGTTCCCTTTTTTTGCGACCTGACAAGCAAAGTCAACGGGGAGGAAGCCGGATTCACTTAACAACCGGGTTACTAATTTAACAATGGCGGGGATTCACTTTAACAACCGTGGCAGGAAAAGTTGTAAAAGAGGAAAGGGAAGGGAAGGGAAGGGAAGGTGGAGGGAGTAGCCATATCACTTATATACTTCTTCACCCGTGCTCTAGCAGCCCCCTCTAAGCAGTTTTACAGAGTCAGCCTCTTTGCCCCCAACAATCTGGGTCCTCATTTTACCCACCTTGGATGGATGGAAGGCTGAGTCAACCATGAACTGATCAGGATCGAACTGCTGGCAGTGGGCAAAGTCAGCCTGCAATACTGCATTCTAACCACTGTGCAAGGAAGGAAGGAAGGAAGGAAGGAAGGAAGGAAGGAAGGAAGGAAG